TCTATCGGGTCGTGTTATATGGGGTAGAGATGTATAAGACGACCAGCAGGGCCAAAGGGAATCTCAGACAGGGCAGCGCTGCCAGAAGCCAGGGAGAGCGAGAAGGAGCCTTGAGCTGGTTGCTGGAACCTGGAGTATAGGAGTGGGCAGGCCTGGGGACCACCCACCCCCCTTTAGCCACAGGGGGGAAGTGGCCTGGACACTGAGGCACCCCAGAGGGGGAACTGAACTACAGTGGCCCAGCTGGAGGGCTTTAGCCAGGAAGCCCAAGAGGGCGAAGACATTGTCTCCAGGGAGGGAGCCCTGGGGCACTGCTCTCCCAGAGCAGGGACAATCTGAGCAAGAGAGTGCAAGGACATGCACTCGGACAAGGGGATGCTCATGAGAGGTGAGTGTACCCTGTTATTTACACACACACACACAATTAATGGCTGGAATTTGTTTGAAAATCAGCATGTTTACAAAAAAAAGCATTCCAAAAAAGGTGGGACACTGAGGTACAGATCATGTAAAAACAGAAAAAAAATGATGCAATCTTAACTCTCTCACTACCGAGACCATAATTTGCCAAATACCGGTTATCTCACATTTGAGAATGTTGGTTAGTTGACTTGGGTCATACTTAAGGACAGAGACTGAGACACCTGGCATATCATGCTATGTACCCTCTTGCAAATTGCTACACTGTGCCTCAGTTTCCACATCTGTAAACTGGAGATAATTACCCAAGTTCAAGAGGCATGTTGTAAAACGTAATGTTTGTGAAATGCATTGTGTTCCTGCTGATAAATGCACTTTAGTATATTTCTATTAGTCAGAATAATTTTTTATATAATTGTAACTTGTTCCAAGTTTTAATTTAGATGCTCAATATTTGGGCTTAGTTTACCTATCAGTGCTTCTAATTCCATTATTCAGAATGCTGGTAAGATCTGAATCCCCTGGCCACTGGCATGGAACAAGTATTCCTCTCCCGCACCTCCCTGCCAAGCTAGTGTTCAGAATGAAAGTGGATTTCCCATGGTGTAACATTTCTCAGAGGTAGTTTTCTCCCATACACACTTTGATCAATTGCCTGCAGGGATTTTCCCAGTCCCTTCCTTAATTGCATCACAGCATGTTAACATTCCTTCAATAGTAGGAGCCTTCACAAGGCTAATAAAACATCAAAATTAAAAATATAAAAGCATGTTTGAATGTAGAGAGTAGGAACAGTGATTATCTTTGCATTCAGTTGGCTGCAGCCTGTTAATGTGTAAAATAGAATTTCTAATTACTTTTCTTCTGTAAATATATTTCCTTCCCTGTTTCATGATTCTAAATTAATCTGTTTTTAATAGTGACATTTCCAGAATTGATGGTTAGGGTGAGTGGAATTATAATTAGCTTGACATACAACTTGCTTGTTGCCAGTACTGGAATTTTGGCCAAATATTCCTGACCAGAGTTCAAATTCATCCAACTTAAGTTGGATCAAAAAATTAATTTCACTTGGGCATCTTTTCATCTGTTCTTTGGTATCAGGTGTATAACCTTTGGAAAATACAAACACTACCTAGTCAAACTATCTCCAAATTAAATAAGAGAAAAGCGTGAGCTAGGTACCCACCTTTACCCTCTGACATAAATTCTACCCTGATTAAACAGCATTGACATAAATGGACCTGATTTACGCCAGCATGAGGGTAACGTGGCCCTTTGATCCTAACTTTCCATGAAGGTCTGAATGCATAATGTGGCTCTGAGCTCTCTCTATTTAACTCCCACCTCTCTACAACTGTATTTCTATGTGTATCCATATCCAAGCCTCTAAGGTATGTTGTGTGACTAAATTTCATGTTTACATAATATATTTCCTATGCTCATGCATCATTCTTTTCCAGTAATAATGTGAGCTATTCTCACTCTTAAATAGCTTTACAACTTGTTTTAGTGTGTGGATCATATGACCTTTAACTTTTGTTTCCCTGTGCAAGTTAATAGCTAGTTGACGTTGAAATGCCTAAAAACTGAAATCATTATTCACGGGCTGGAGAAGGACTTTCCACAGAGGTTTACAGCAGTATTACAAGTTTTCATACAGCGATCTATTAAGTTAAGTAACACTTTGTATAGCTTGCAGAGTGTCTGAGTGAATGCTCCAGGGGACCTGCACCAGAGGGCTGACCCCCTCAGCCTTGGGAAATTGTGATGGTGATTTATGTCCCCATTGTTGACAGTCATGCTCAGAAACTGATGAGCTGCTTTCAGAAAATCAGATCTGGAGGTGGAGGATAGTGAGGATATGGAAGAGCATTCTTGGTGAGAGGGGTAGGAAAAATCAATGCACTGCCATCATTTAACAATATGATTGAGGAGGCTGAATTTCAACAGAAGCTTGTGGATCAGAAAATCTATTTGTTGTAAGCAGCAGAAGACAGTTCCAACCATGCACAGCTTTTAGATCTGACTCCAGTTTCATCAATTAAAGTTCAGCATCTTTTCTAACAAGCAACAAAGAGTCCTGTGGCACCTTATAGGCTAACAGATGTATTGGAGCATAAGCTTTCGTGGGGTTTATGTTCCAATACGTCTGTTAGTCTATAAGGTGCCACAGTACTCAGTCTGGATCTGTAAAAAGCGACAAACACGGCTACCCCTCTGAGACTTTTCTAACAAGATGTACTTTAGTCTTGGAAACAGAAGAGGTAATGCACATGAGCAAACCTGGATATAGGCCACATGTAGCCCGTGTAGGGTGACCAGATGTCCCGATTTTATAGGGACAGTCCCGATGTGAGGCTTTTTCTTATATAGGCTTCTATTACCCCCACCCTGTCCCAATTTTTCACGCTTGCTGTCTGGTCACCGTAGGCCCGTGCCATGTAAATTTGTGGCTCTCCTGAAGGCAGTGTTATGATGGAGGTGGGTGAAACCTTGTTGAAGTTGGTGGATGTGTTAGACACCCTTCATTCAGGACAAATGTAAGTACACCTCTACCCCGATATAATGCGACCCAATATAACATGAATTCAGATAGAATGCGGTAAAGCAGCGCTCCGGGGGGCGGGGGCACACTCCGGTGGATCAGAGCAAGTTCACTATAACACGGTTTCACTGGTAAGATTTTTTGGCTCCCGAGGACTGCGTTATATTGGGGTAGAGGTGTAGTAGTTTAGCTTTTTGTAGTAAGAAAGCTGAAACAGAGCCACAGGTGAGTATGGCCAGAAGCTGAGCTCTGTGGGTGTAGGGGTTTCACTGAGGGCTGAATGCAGACTCAGGGGACTGGATATTATTGGGAGGTGTGTGTATCTGTGAGCAGGGCCGGCTCCAGGCACCAGCCGAGCAAGCTGGCGCTTGGGGCAGCAGCTTTAGGAGGCGGCGTTCTGCCCAATCCTAGGGCGGCACGGCCGCTTTTTTGTGTGTGTGGTGTTATGCTCCGGCCGCCCTGTAGGGGGCAGCGGCGCGGAGGACGGGAGCGCCCTGCAGCAAGCCCGGCAGGACAGCCCGCGTCCTTCCCTCCCAGCCCACTGGAGTGGCACAGAGCCTTCCCGGCAGGTGGCGGGGCAGGAGGGGCCGCGTGGCAGCGCCCCGCTGAAGCCCTGGCCGCCCCCCTTCTCTCTCTCTCCCGCCCGCTCCCTCCCCCTGGCTCCTGTGCAGCTGCAGGTTTTTTTGTTTTTTGCTTTGCCGTTCTGGCTGCCCCGTTTTTTTTTTGCTGGGGGCAGCCAAAAAGCCAGAGCCGGCCCTGTCTGTGAGCAGAAATGGGGGAGAGAAGCAGCCAGAAAGCCATGGAGATGGCAGCAGAAGCACTTGCAGTGCAACCCCGAGAGAAAGCCAAGAGAGGGCTTTTGGGGCAGAGCAGTAGCTGAAACTGTGACTAAAGAACCTGCCTTGTCTTTAATTCCTACTGAGTTCTTGAAAAATACCTGTCTCCAGCTGAGGCCTGGCCTGAGTGGAGTAATTAACACATGGAGGGAGGCCTCATTTCTTGAAGGCTAGAATAGGGAGATAAACAGATCATTAGGGTGAAGTAAATAGGCCAGTAAGCTAAAAAGACAATGTCTGAGTCAGCTAAGAAAAAAGGGAGAACACCCAGGGAACCATTTACTAAAGTGGACAAGATCAGTTAGGAATGTAAAGAAGGGGTCAGGCATGGACAGAATGCAGCACAGGGATTGGTTCCTGAAAAGTGACCAAGCCAAAAATGTGATATCATGTATAGTAAATGCAATGAGATGAGTAAATGTTTATGAAGTTGTGTGTAACTTTGGATGTGTGGTACGCCTTATGCCCACTCCCTATGTTTGAGTCTGATCAACTCAGCATAGTTTTGCTATATGCCAAATCAAGGAAGCTGAGTGACAAAATCTGGAGTCAAACTAAGTTTTACACCAGAGAACTGGATGAAGTGTTTTCCCAGAACTGGACAAGGTGTTCTGGAAACGATCTGGGAGGGAATCTAAACATCCTCCAAAAAAACCCGCAAGCCCACAAGTAATAGCTAACCACTTGGATAAAGAGGGGTAACAATAATAATGTAACCACGGTAGCAATGCTAGCAGATTTATCACTCCCACGTATATAATCAAAATACCCTTCTTTTGATACTGAAAGGTTTGATAATGAGGATGCACAAATGTAGCTTTTCAATTATGTAAAATTTCTCCTCTTTAGCAAGAGACAAAGGTAAACCTCTTTCCCCTGCTCTTACTAGAATAACTGCTTTGGACAGAGTACTGCCTATCATGCATAGTCAGAGGCCAAATAAGAAAACTACCAAATGGTTATAGACACCACTCTCCTATGCCATGCACAAAATGAATCCTGAAAGAATTAGACTGCAGCACAGTCACTATATGCGTGTGAGCACTTTGATTAAAATCTCATGTTTTTGACTAGGAGTGTGTGCCAGAACCCTTAATTACACAAAGGGTAAAAACATTAAGATGGAAAAATTAAAGTTGTCTCCCTTTGAAACAACTGTTCCCTCATTTGTTTGCAATAGAGACACAGAAAGAGATGGAGTTTCTAAAACTGATTTATTGATTGTCTTGATATTCATTTCTCAGTGCACTGGAAGATGAGTTCTTCTTAAGCTAGCTTTTTGCTGACTCTTTTGTAGGTTATACCACCAGCTGTAGAGATCTGGAATAAAGAACAAACCAAAGACTCTGAACATGGTAACTAGAACTGCAGAGTTACTTATGGAAAAGATTTGTTAGAGCTTGGATTATGCCCCTTGCTGGTAAAAGATTTTTTACCAGCCCGAAACTAAATTATTAATACACTTCATCCTGGGATACTCTATAGCAAGGGTCGGCAACTTTTCAGAAGTGGTGTGCCGAGTCTTCATTTATTCACTCTAATTTAAGGTTTCGCGTGCCAGTAATACATTTTAACGTTTTTAGAAGGACTCTTTCTATAAGACAACAATAGTTTAGTTATATATTATAGAATGTAAAGTAAATAAGGTTTTTAAAATGTTTAAGAAGCTTCATTTAAAATTAAATTAAAATGCAGAGCCTCCCGGACCGGTGGTCAGAACCTGGGCAGTGTGAGTGCCACTGAAAATCAGCTCGCATGCCGCCTTTGGCACCATGTGCCATAGGTTGTCTACCCCTGCCCTATAGAAATACATTTTACATAGCAACTATCTCCATAAAAACATGTTTCGGGATGTTTTAAGGGATTCCACCCTAGAATACCTGACCCTGAGATGATACCTGAGACAATAGGCTGTAATGGGTGTTCTACAATAGCAATAAATGGATGGAAATATCAGTTTCGATGCAGGTAGCTGTATTGCCAGGAAGTGACGATAGACTCAATTCAGCAAGGTGGTTAAGCATGTATATAACTCTAACTACTTATTGTAGTCCTCATCTGAAGTCAAGTCCTGACTTCTTATGCCACTCATGCATTGAAGCCCTTATGCTTAAAGTTTGGCATGTGCTCACATACTTTGTTGAAGAGGGGCCTATCTGAGAAACCTGGACCCCGCTCTAGGTTTTAGTAAGTATCAGTCCAGATTATCCAAAATCCATCTTTCCCATCACTATCTGGACTTCTTGTTGGTTCGGCAGTGTCCCTGTTTTTCCAAACTGGGTGAAACTATTTCTTCTCTTTATAACACACTTCCATGGAATTTGATAATGATGCAAAACAAATAGTTTTATAGAAATTACTCTACAACCCTACAGAATTTAACAGTAAATTGTAAACTTTCTGTAGAACTTTTAAACCATCCTATGGAACACTATGCCAGAAATATAGAAAATTATAGCCCAGATATAGTGGGTCAGAGGTAGCCTTAAAAATATATACAGAAAGCTTCACTATTATAGAAGACTTCAATAAGTGTTGTTTCCATTTCTTGAAGCCCATGTACTTTATGTAGTCAGATAAGTCAGTCAAGGACAGACTGGTCAACTTGCGAGAAGTCAGGTGAAAAAATCCAAAATATAAATACTAAATTGTGTTTAACAATTATCTGGGTTTCATGAACCTATGACATTTAAAAAATCTAATTAACCATGAAAGCCATTTTTAAACATGTTTTGCATTCGGATGGAACAATGAAACACTTGCCTATTTCACATCTGATAATTATGCTACAAAAACTGCAGGGGGAAGGCTTGCTTTAAAATCCTGCCTTTTACCTCCCACCCCCACCCCCAAAAAATCTAAAATCTAATGAAAACATTTCTAGTGGTCCCTTAGGTTTTGTAAAGATAAAGCCCAATGTTCCGTGCTGTAATTAACCTGGCAATATTCCTTTAAGTTTCATGGAGTGCCTCTGAAGGATGGTTAGAGACTTACCTCTACTAGTTTTCCACCAGCAATCTCTGCAGTATGATGGTAGTTAGGGAAATCAGCAACCACTTTCCCACCTTCCATTTTAACAGTTGCCTGTAATGGAAATTTGTTTATCATTGTCTTGATTTCTTGGGCTTTATCATGCATAACTGCTTTTCAACAGCCTCTAAAGAAAATAAGATGTGAGCGAAGCCATGTGCTACAGACACTATTACATATTCTCAGACACTAACAAGACCAGAATCCTAGTTCTTAAATATAAATTCTCACAGCTTAAGCTAAAGTAGATGTAGCTAGCAGTAGTAGCAAGTAACATATCTTCTCTTTGGGCCAGTCACTGAAACAGTATATCCAGAGACAGAAGGTTCTGTAGAGTACTCTTTTCATAGCCAGTCCTCGTAGTGTTGGTCTCTCTCAGATAACTAGGCTTGTCCAAGCTTGTAAGTCAAAAATGACTTAAGACCAGTCAGCCATAATTAGAAAAATAGTGGTTTTCAAGGTAAAAAATGAACTGACTTCTTTCACAGACAAGAGGGAAAAACCCCTGTCAGCTTTGCATTTTGTGTTATATTGAAGGAAGCATTTCTCACATGAGAACCATTTTTTGTCTTAACTACCCCACTAGCATCTTTGGCAGCCCAAAAGGATCCACATGTTGAAGTGTCTCTGGGATAGAGAAAGGGGAAGGGTAGCGTTTGTAACATTTCAACTTTGGATGAAAAGTTTGCAGTATATGAAAGTAACTCTCCTTGTAATTGTACGTATGTTAAGTCTCAAGGGTTTTGTAAAGCCAGTAATGTTTGGCTTTTTGCACAACTCCAGTCAAAATGTAGAGGAAACAATGTTATGATTGACAAACCAATCTAGAAATCAGGAAATAGGGATTCGGGTCCCTGTTTGGTGTCACATTTCCCCATGTGATGGTTGGCTTTCCTATTGTTAAAAATGAATAATGCTTCAATTTGGTACTTGCATCATTATTTTTGAGATGCTCAGATATTACGAGTTTATTCTTTCAACACCTCCCTGAGATAGGGAAATATTATCCCCATTTTATAGATGGAGAATAGAGCAAGTGATTTGTTCCAGGTCATTTAGGAAGATTGTGGCAAAGCCAGATATTAAATCTGTCTTCTGAGTCTCTAGGCAGTGCCTGGAAGACCAGGCCATCCTTCCTCATATCTAAGAAATGTGAGGCTTGCTTCATGCCTCTTGTAAATTTTGATGGGAAATAGAAAGAATCATTATTATAGTAGTGGTCTATATAGTGAAATACATTGGAATATATAGGGCCAGGTTGCATGGATTTACAAAGGAGGAAATGAGAGCTCCCTTGCATGGGTCAAGGCTGAAGCACAATGGGAATCCTGATGCTGAGTGTGTGCCTGGTCTCCACAGAGCTAGGGTTTTGTCAACACTAGATTGTGGAAAGGAGGCAGGGATATAACTTTTCCCTACTCTCTACACCAGTCACTGAAGGGAATCTGGCATGGAAGGCAGAAGGTAATGAACTGTTATGGGTGGGGTGGCAGTTGTTGTTACTATGAGTTCTGAGAGCCAGTGTATCTGCTTGAGGCACGGGCCCTTCTGGGGCTGTCATTCTACCCTTTTTCTTTTCCCCCCTGTTTTTTTTTAACGTGACAATATTCAAGTCCTCACTAAACTCTTTGAACTGGCTGCACATTGGCCTGAAAATCAAGAGATTGGGAAGTCTCTACAGCAGAGGTGGGCAAACTACAGCCTGAGGGACCGTCCTGCCCAGTCCTTGAGCTCCTGGCTGGGGAGGCTAGTCCCTGGCCCCTCCCCCGCAGCCTCAGCTTGCCATGCTGCCAGTGCTCTGGGCGGCGGGGCTGCAAGCGCCGCCGGGTGTAGTGTATTAAATTGCTCCCCTTAGGAATGTGCTACTTACGGAGCACCAGGACTGGCAGCTGTAAGTAGTACCCCATAAGTAGCACATTCCTACGGGGAGCAATTTAATACACTACAGACTGGCAGCCGTAAGTAGCACATTGTAAGTAACACATTCCTACAGGGAGCAATTTAATACACTACACCAGCCCGCCATACACTTTTAGAACCCCGATGTGACCCTCAGGCCAAAAAGTTTGCCCACCCCAGCTCTATGGGCATATTTAGAAATAGATTTATGTTCAAAAATATAGTGGGTAGATTAAAAACAATACAGGGCATCTCTTCATATGTGTCAGGATTACAGCATTGACAAAATCCCTCAGATGGAGTACCAGATGCTATGGACCATTGTCCCCTAAATTATGAAATAGACTAGGCAACTAAGTTACTATTGAAATAACATTAAACCATAGGACTAAATTAATTTACCTTGAACTTTTTACCTCCCATTGTCTCCATGTCGGCTTCCTTGCCAATGGTGAATTTGTTGGTCATGGAGTGGCCTGTGGGGTAGATCTGGGTCCAGACAAAGTCATTTCCATTCTGTGCCACTTCTGTGACAATCTTGAAATTCCTTCCCTTTTCAATGATATCACTGGGGATACCTACCCAACGGAAACACAGGTTTTAAAGCTAATATCCCATTAATCATATTTTCTTCTGTATTTAAGGAAAACAATGGTCTGTGGTTTCCTCTATTGAGAAATTCATGACTGATTACATGGATCCCCACTCTTTTATATTGGTGTCATAGTTCAAAATGCTGGAAGCACACTTTGGAAGCAATGAGCCCTCAACCCTGTAGCTAGCTGCAGCTCGAGACTGTGAAAGATTGTTTGGAAAGGGTCCATGGTCGGGGGAGGGTGGTGGTAAATTTTTCAGCTGTATCTATCCAGTCTATACACATGTACGCACATGAAGTTACATGTGCACAAAGTTTTTTTTTCTGTACTTTGTAGGGAAAAAACCCTATTACATTCTAATATTTACATATGCCATTTAAATAGTTGAACACTTGCCTGAAAACAAACATTTACACTTACAGAACCCAGTTACCTCCATGGATTTCACAGGTGCCTACACCGGCCTTGGCTTTTTAAAAGTTCATATGGAGTTAGGGTACACTCAGGCACCTACTCCTGTAGAGGGCAGTCACAAGTTTGTACTAGCACAAGTGGAGCGTGAGGTTTGAATATTGGGCCCCCTAATTCATTGTATTACAAGTACCTTTGGGCCTGATTCTGCTCCCACTAAACTCAGACTTTAGTAGGAGCAGGCCTGAGGTTTGCTGTAGATGATGATATTCTGAAGATGTGATTGAAAGCTGCATTGAAGAAAATGAATCAATGAAGGTATAACCCACTTGCCAGCCAGGGACTGGCAGATAAGGTGCTCAGCACTTTCTGATAGATATCAAACACCCTCAACACCTGGGAGGAGCAAGCCTCAAACCTTTGCATTGTTTATCTAGTAGTTTATTAAAACTCATTAAGATTCATTGAGAAAAATCTGCAGTGTATACTCACCAATACACTTCACAAAGGCATCATAGTTGTCTTCACTTTCCACTTCATATCTGCCTGTGAAAGCCATGTTACCTTAGAGATGTGGCTGGTGCACTGGAGCAGCTGTTGCAATGAAGAAGCTTGGCTGGGTGCAAACAGGCTCAAAGCTCTCACTTTATAAACCTTCCCAAGCTGCTCAACCCCACCCCCTGATCATTCCACCTGTCCACCACACCCCTCCGACTGAAATAGTGTCTCTGAGTCACTAGCCTGGGTGTTATTGACCCTCATGAAAGTGCCCATTTATAATTCTATGATGACTCCTTGTCCTTGGTTTATACGGCTGGAGGGATTAGTCGTTTTTTTTGTTTGTTTTTTCTCCCAAATGCAAGTGCTGTCCCTTGCTGCTGGAATTTCTTTTAAAAAAGAGAACCGCAGATTAATTTGTTTGAAATAAATCAGTTATTTTGCGATGATGTATTTGCAAAATATCCGGTTTTGACTGCTTCTGATTCAGTGTCTGTCCATAAGCAAGTCACTTGATTTCTTTGAGTTCCCTCTTCGTAAAAAGGGATGATAATACAATAGCTGCCTCTATGAAGGGCTTCAAGATCCTAAGAAGAAAAATGCTTATTATTGACTCTTAGTACCATGGATTCTGCCAAGGAGAAGGAATTATAAATGTTTGTTCCTCAAAGCTCTTGTCCCATTAGAGTGCATGCTGCAGTGAGAGATGCCTGCTATCTCAGGGGGCTACATCTCCCTCATCCCCTAAGTCTTCCTCCTAGAATCCAGCCCTGACTGGCAGCATCCCAGGAGCAGAAGATATAACAGGCAATGCTGCTTCTCCCCTTTGAGGCTCTGTCCAGCCAGGGCAAGATTTGATCCTGGCTGGACAACTGTAATGCCTCCTCTAGCATTCAGAAATCATGAGACAGGTCTCCTCAAAGTCATGAGACTGTAAAAAGTAAGTCTTGGGTTCTTATTATTTACCTTCTGGTTTCAGAGCTTTTAGGTTGCACTCGAATCATGTTTTCCCACTTTGCTCCCCAAGCATGTAGTCTAATTTTTTTTAAAGAATAAAACAGATTATAATGTAATTTCATAACTCTGGGAGCTGAAGCTTTAAGAAAAACATCAAATATGAGATTATTTTAAAATTGCAGGAGTTGGCAATACTATTACAATACAATAATTTGACAACCCATAACCTCCTTCTATTACCCCAAGTAATTCACAAATCCTAATTTGCCAGTGGCAGAATGTGACGTTGCACCCCATAATGCTTTATAGAAATATGCTTGAGTGTAAATATGACATAACTGGAATATGTTTTATGCTAGATATGCCATGTAACGTATCTCTGCAACGGTTATGATCTACTGGATATATTCATCCTATTTGCATGCAGGTGTCATTTTTGTATTCGAAGTTATGAATATTGGCTATGTACTTGTTTGATTTTAAGTAGCCTCAGTGAAGCAGTTGGTCAGCTTCTTGAGAAAAGACTTTTCTCAGTAAGTGCCCAGTCAAGAAACACTTAAGCTAACAATGAACTATGAGAGATGCCAATCCACATCTGAGCTTTCCTGGGAATGTGGCAGCCTGTAAAGTTCTGAGCCATGCATGGACACGTGACTTGCCCATGTGACTCCAAAACTCCATCTTTCAGCTAGATTCTGCATAGGAGAGGAGAAGGTGTTTCCACCCACAAGAGAGAATCTATTTAAGCCCCTGGAAACCCCTCCATTTTGTCTTCAGCTGGCTCAAGAGAGAGCCCCAAAGGATACCTGAAAGAAACTGGAACAAAGGACAGTAACTACAGGGGTGTGAGTGATTGCTGGACCCAGACTAGAAAGAGGCTAGTCTGTAAAAGAGGCTTATTGGAACATACCTGCATTTAGTGTTTTTTTACTGTATTAGGCTTAGACTTGCATGTTTTATTTTATTTTGCTTGGTAATTCACTTTGTTCTGTCTGTTATTACTTGGAATCACTTAAATCCTATCTTTTTGTATTTAATAAAATCACTTTTTAACTTCTTAATTAACCCAGAGTATGTATTAATACCTGGGGGGGGGTGGGGGCAAAGAGCTGTGCATATCTCTCTATCAGTGTTATAGGGGGCAAACAATTTATGAGTTTATCCTGTATAAGCTTTATACAGGGTAAAACGGATTTATTTGAGGTTTGGACCCCACTGGGATTGGGTATCTGAGTGCTGGAGACAGGAGCACTTCTTAATGTGTTTTCAGTTAAGCCTGCAGCTTGTGAGGGACATGGTTCATACTTGAATCTGTGTTTGCAGCAGGCAAGCGTGTCTGGCTCAAACAAGGCAAGGTTCTGAAGTCCCAAGCTGGCAGGGAAAACAGGCTCGGAGGTAGTCTAGGCGCATCAGATGGCAGTCCCAAAGGGGTTTCTGTGATCCAACCTGTCACACAGAAACTATACATTAGAGTCTTTTAAAATGTTTGGTTAATGTAAGGCCTCATGGATCAGGTCCTATTCCTTAAATATATTTGCTATTTGTATTTTAAGGGTCTGTACCCTTTGAGAACAAAATTCTCCTTTTCAGTCCCTGTTGGAGGGGGTCTCTCACATTCTGCCTTGGTTCTTCATGAATTACAGACATCAAGTGGAATATAGAACATGCAATAACTATCTACACTGCAGATAATCAAGCTTTTTAGTTGGAAACTTAGGTTGTTTCTTGTTTGATCATCTATTTCCTTCTCAAAAGTCTGATGGAGTGTAATGTTAAGTATTACTAATAACAATGGAAGGTACAAATCTTTCAGATGGAAGTGTGACTTTTCAAGTTGAAGTCCCATTTAAAATTGCTTGCTGTGGTGGATGTTCCTATGGTAAAGTAATTTACTAGAATAGATGCAGAAAGTGAACATGTGAGTGGCATAAACAAAAGAAAAAAAATCAAAAGTATTTTAGGAATTCTTCCACATACACTTCTCCTCACTATTCACTCAGCTTCAAAATGCACCATGCTGGGTAGTGACGGGCTAGTAGAGTGCTTGTCATGACAAAAGATGTGCCATCTACTGTCTGAGAGTTTTAAATTAAAGTCTCTGTATGAAAAAGGGAAGAGGTCTATGTACTTCTCTGTGAATTTTCTCCACATTCTGTGGCTACCATTCAAAACACAGAGATGTATCAGAACACACGTCTACACTGACAAAGTTACAGTGCTGCTCAGAGACCACTGAAGGGAAACTGATGTTGTGTGTTCACACTGTCTACTGCCTGCGCAGTAGTGTGCTCACACTTGCAGCACTTGCAGCGGTATTTGGAGCACTGCACTCTGGGCAGCTATCCCATGGAGAATCTCTTTCTCTTCTGCCCCTAAGAGTTGTAGGATGGTGGAGGGGGTCGTGGGGCATCCTGGGTCCTGTCCCAATAACCCATGATGCATTGCTTTGCATCTCAGAAATCCCTGTTCTTCCATCTGCATTTGGTGCCATCTTTCAATGGTTTGTGTACTGCACGCTCTGCCTCTTTGGTCTGCAGGAATGGATCCCGAACTGTTGACCAGCATGCTGCTTGCTCTGACTGACATGTCACAATTGGCAGTGGAGTTATTCCTTAAACTACAAAGGCAAGAGGAGGGTGACATTGATCTCATCACGCGTAGTAGCTACGACATGAGATTGCTTGTGGCATTCACAGAGGTGCTGACCACAGTGGAATGCCGCTTTTGGGCTCAGGGAAACAAGCACTGAGTGGTGGAATCTCATCATCATGCACGTCTGGGATGATGAGTAGTGGCTGCAGAACTTTCGGATGAGGAAAGCCACATTCATGGGACTGTGAGATGAGCTCGCCCCAGCCCTGTCGTTGGAGAAGCACGTGGCGATTGCACTGTGGAAGCTGGCTACTCCAGATCGGTTGCTAACCAGTTTGGAGTGGCAAAGTCAACCGTTGGACTCGTGTTGATGGAAGTGTGCAGGGCCAATAATCGCATTCTGCTCCGAAAGACTGTGACTCTGGGCAATGTGTGTGACATTGTAGATGGCTTTGCACAAATGGGCTTCCCTAACTATAGAGGGGCACGCATATTCCAATTCTGGCACCAGACCACTTAGCCACTGAGTACATTAATCTCTTGGGTTATTTCTCTATGGTTCTCCAGGCAGTTGTGGATCACTGTGGGTGTTTCACAGACATTAACGCAGGCTGGTCCAAAAAGGTGCATCTTTCAGAACACTGTCCTGTTCAGGAAGCTGCAAGCAGGGACTTTCTTCCCGGACCAGAAGATCACCGTAGGGGAAGTCGAAATGCCCATTGTGATCTTGAGACCCTGCCTACCCCTTAATGCCGTGGCCTATGAAGCCATACATGGGGCAATTTGACAGCAGCAAGGAGTGGTTCAACAACAGACTGAGCAAGTGCAGAATGACTGTTGAGTGTGCTTTTGGCCTTTTAAAAGCCCGCTGGCACTGCCTATATGGGAAGCTGAACCTGGCCCATGACAATATTCCTATGGTATAGCCACGTGCTGTATGCTCCATAATATATGTGAAGGGAACGGTGAAAGCTTCACTCAGGACTGGACTGCAGAGGTTTAGTGCCTGGAGGCTGAGTTTGAACCGCCAGAGACCAGGGCTGTTAGAGGGGCACAGCATGGGGCCATAAGGATCAGGGATGCCTTGTGGCAGCAATTTGAAGCTGAAAGACACTAATATTTGTTGCTATGTTCGGGATTGCAGTGCTTGTAATGCTAGAAGGTGATTGGTGCACATGATGCAATCAGGGGGTTTAACATAATTGTATGTTGCTTTGCAGTGCTCTTTTTGCTGTCAACTAATAGAATAAAGATTGCTTTCAAACCAACACAATTCTTTTATTAAAAGACAATGGGAGGAGAGAGTCAAACAAACAAAAAAAACATCAGCAAGGAGGGGGATGGGGGAAGGGAAGGTCCCAGGAGGAGGAGGGGTCCCGGGATGGCTAAAGATTTGTGTATGTTCAGGGATCATATACAATCTTGTCCTTTGGAGTACAATGCAGCGGGTACTGTACTTCAGCAGGGCCAAACTGCAGAGGGATGAGTGTTGAGTGCAGTGGGTAGTGGGAGTCCACAGTGCTGGACTGTGAGGGGGGAAGGAGTGGAATGCCACAGGTATAGACTGGAGCCAGGAGGTTGATTA